GGAGCCTCTCCTGCCTCCTCAGCAGCACTAAGGATGTCCGACTGCAGCTTAGGTCTGCTCCCTGCTGGTAAGTGGACATCCCCCAAGGGCTGCCGGGCTGCCAGAGGGATGTCTGACTGCCAGCTTGAGCCCAATCCCCCTGGGAGTGGGCCTAAGCCAGCAGGTGGACATCCCCCAGGGGTCCTAGACTGCGAGAGGGCACAGGCCAGGCTGAGGGACCCCACCCCCCAGTGCACAAATTTTTGTGCACCGGGCCTCTAGTTAAATAATAAGTTCTGTCTCTGAGCATTGGAAAATTAAAATGTACCTATCCACTTTTTTTCTCAATGTTCTATGAAGATAGAAGTGAATCAGACAGAGGCTGAGACTAGATAGATGAATAAAGTAGTAGATCACTTTTTCCTAAAGGACACTGAATTATATTTCCAAAATTCCCATCTAACCTTAAGTTTCATTTCTTTGTCCAAAGTATTATGCTATGTTCTTTGGAAGGAAGCGGTATAAGAACAGCTTATACAGTGGTAGATCACAAGTTAGCAAAAATATCAAACTTCATCCATTCTGCTTAACTAGTAAATTAGTTATTAAGTACTCAGTAATTCTTTTTATTATTATTATTGATTTGAGAGAGAGAAGAGAGGGAAGTGGGAAAGAAAGAAAGACATCCATTTGTTGTTCCACTTACTTATGCATTCATTTGTTGATTCTTGTATGTGCCCTGACTGGAGATTGAACCACAACCTTGGTATATGGGGATAATGCTCCAAACAGCTGAGCTACCTGGCTGGGGCCAGTACTCAATTATTCTTGATATTTCTTTCTTGATAATTATAAATTGCATTATGTTTGAATGCAATGAAAATTTTATAAAATAGAATTGTTGATTTTAATTACCATTAATCCCATCAATGAAAACTAGCATTTGAGTGTGACTTTTTAAACATTTTGAGACAGAATAGCAAAGTTTGATTATGATAATAAGCAAAGGTTCCTGTTTTGTAGAGAGGTGACAGTGTTAATAAAATGGTGGCCTCGTAATATTTCTTGTGTCCTTCATGCATCTTCACATTTCCGGTGCATGGGAACCATCAAAACCTGACCCTTAGCAGGTACTTAGTATTTATTCAATTGAATGAAAAAATATCTTTAATGAATTTAGGTAGTAATGAAATTTTGTTTTGAAAATAATTATGTTCTTGCAGAAATTCATTTGTTGAATACCCACAATATGGTTATGTCAGTCTTAGGGTTTCAGTCTTAGGGATAACAAAGAGAAATCACATACCTTAGTCTCCAGCGGGCAGTTTTCACAAATAGAATGTAACTACATATGTCTTCAGGACAAATAAAAATTGTTAAAATTTTAAAATGCAAATATTTGACATGCAGACCCTGCTTTATCGTTTGAATTATAGTATGCTGATCTGTTTATAATAACTAGCAATTAATATACTATGTTAGGTTCTGTGCTAAACTTGTATTCATTTAATTCTCACAACCATCCTTCTAGGTAAGTATAGAAAAACGGTTATCTCCTTTGTATAGATAAGGTGAACAAGGTGCAGAATGCACAGGAAAATTTGGCAGGGACCCAAATTAGTTGAACCAGAATCACAACCCACTCCAAATCATAGTAGTACTGCAAACCAAAGGAAGCATGCAGTGGACTGAAAATTAGGAGCTAGTCACCTGAGGCATTTAGGTAGTTTGCTTCTGAGAATCGGCTTCTGATTTTTTAAAAATAATATCTAAAATAAGGTGATATAACTAAATAATCTCTTAAATATTCAGAATTGTTGGATAGTAGGAACAGTCTGTGAAGAAAGGTAGAAAATGCTAAAACATTAAAACACACACAAAAAAATTTACTCATTTGAAGTCCAAATGAAAAGCTTGAATTACAGTGGGGCCTTGACTTACGAGTGTCCCGACTAACGAGTTTTTCGAGATATGAGCCGTCTGGGCCGATTTTTTGCTTTGAGTTGCGAGCTAAAATTCGGGTTATGAGCCAGCTTCAGATACCCCACCGCTAGTTGGCGCAGCGAACATCACAGTGAACGCCACATCAGCCCAGCATCACGTGTCTCACTCATTCACTGTTGATTTGACATACGAGTAATTTGAATTACGAGCTCCGTCACGGAACGAATTAAACTCTTAAGTCAAGGCCTCACTGTATTGTAAATTAAAATAAAAAATGTATTAGACTTAATTTTATTAGTCCAGTAATACTTTTATATATAATTGGAGGTTGGATTTTAGGAACTACTGTTTCTCTTAAATTAATCCTCCTTTCAATGACTTAGGACAGCAATTTTCAACCTGTGTGTCACAAGAATTTTTAAACATTCAGTATCTGATTATTTAGTCAGGAATACTGACCTCTTTTCCCTTAGATTGTCAAATGAAAAAATGACAACAGCCAACTCAACAATAGCTGTCTGGTGTGAATGAACCAAAATTGTGTGTGTGATCAGAAAAAGTTTTTTTGGTGTGCCACAGAACTTTAGTAATTTTGTGTGCAATGAGATTTTTAAAAAAAGGTTGAAAATCGCTGACTTAGGAAATGTATATTTTCTTTTGATTTTGGAGAATTGAACAAATCTGTATTGATAGTATTTTTACTAAAAGCTCTTCTTTGATGTCTTCGTATTTTGAATTTTTGAGATGGTGTTACTGGTTCTTTTTAACCCTAAGGTCACCTATTCGATCCCTGGTTAGGGAGGGTACTGGAGGCAACCAATTGATGTTTCTCTCTCCCTCTCTATTGAATGAATAGGGAGGTAAAAATAAGTGTACTTTCTCTGTGCAGAAATTCCAAGGAGTGCTGATTTATAGAGCATTTATAAAAGGTAACTGTTGGAGATACTCACAGCCTAAAATATTTTCCAGTCATTGGTGCCACTATTTTCTCTGTCCTAAAATACTTTCCTTAACATCAGTGTCCATCAATACTGGCAGTGTAGTTAAGTTCCTAAGGAACAATTCAATGCTAACTGTTTTAAAGCTTAAGGGTGGACAGAACTGTCTTGACACAATTTGAGCTTGCTATAGCAACGATTTTTTAACATATTGCAGTGCTCTCTATTTGACAAGTGATTATATAGACTTAGCATTTTAAAAAAACCCTTAAGGATGGAGAAGCAGTTTTCAGGTATGATGAGAAAATCTTAGAAAAGAAATAAGGTTTTAATTAGATGCTCAAAGATGCAAACAGGCTTTTGAGAAAGTGAAAGATGATTAAGGAAGGTTAGATTGACCAAAGCTCTAGTATCCTTAATTCTAATATGCTTTGCTATATGTGTTTGCATGTAGAAAAAGTGAAATCTAGTAACCCTGGGAAATATAGTTGCTATGTGGGAACATATATATAAGTGATACATTGGATTTATGACTCAAGTTTCTGAATATACTCTTACTTTCTCTAATTTCCTAGTTATAATGAAGCTTGAGGTATAGTTGGTTTAGTTCCACATCAGGACATTTTTGGGGAAATTTCAGTTACCAAAAGTTTGATTTTCTATTTAATTTTTTATCATGGAACATTTCAAACATGCTCAAAATTGAAAGAATAATGTAATATGAATTCTGAGCCATTCACCACTTTAGTGATTATCCCCCTCATAGTAATTATAGCATGGGACTGTGTAGAAATTGGGACATCAGCATTGTAATTATAGCATGGGACTGTGTAGAAATTGGGACATCAACATTGACTAACTATGTAATCTTAGTTATTAACCTCTTTTAATTTTTTTTAACTGTAAGATATATCTACTTCACTAATACTTTCTACCTCATAGGGATGTTAATGATCACTCAATGACAAAATGAATATGAAACACTTATAGTGTGGAGCGTGGCCTGTTGTTGGCACTCCACAATATTAGTTTCATTTCTTTCATAGAAAAATGCAGTAAATGTCCACTGGCTCTGCCTCACTTGTGACTTGAGGCTGGTATTTCAAGTATAATGTTTGTTTAGTCAACTTCAGGCAATTATTTGGCCCATTCTAGTAGTTAAGTCTTTAAGGATAAAATTACTTATGTCTCTATTTCTGAGGCTTTCTTGCCCCCATGTTTCCTTAGTGCAAGATTGTCCAATAGAGGTATAATGCAAGTCACACACATTTTATTTAATCCAACATATCTAAAATATTACTATTCTAATATGTGTTCAATATAAACATTTTTGAGATGCTTTACATTCTTTAGTTAATTTCAAGTTTTTAATATCTGTATATTTTACACTTCAAAGTATATCTCCAATTTGGACTATTTTAAGTACTCAGTAACCACATAGGCTAATGTCTGCCCTATTAGACAGCACAGCCTTAGAGTCCCACAGGTATTCACATTCTCTATGCCCACACACATCTTCTGTGGAGTCATGGGAGAGAGCCATGGCAAAGATAGAATTAGGATACAGATTTTCTTCAAAGCTATTTGGTCAGTCTTAAGATTCCTAATTGATTACTTCTTTGTTTGTTCTTATATGAAAAGCTTAATTTCAGGTGATTATTTGTTAACTCTGGAGTTATTAATGATAATAATGTACTATAATTTGTCTTTTTATCAAATTAGTTTTTATGTGAGTTATTTGACATATATAGGTATTAGGAACTATATGAGGAAATTGAGTACTAAATAGCATATAGTAGTTATGGTGCTCTTCTTAATGATAGTATGTTTTTGTTTTTTAAGATTGCAGCAAAAATTGGAGGTGATGCTGGTACATCACTGAATTCAAATGACTATGGTTATGGGGGACAAAAAAGACCTTTGGAAGATGGAGGTAAGTTATAGCCATAAGTATTTTTGTTTTACACAGTTTAGTTAAAGTAATTTTTACAATTTTTCAAATGTTATTATTGTATTGAAACATTACTTTTATCATAAGGTTCCTAAAATTGTAAGGCTTATATTGCCCTCAAAAGGAAAGGGGGGAAAAGAAACCTAGACAAGGTAGGTAAAATTTTAGTCAGTTTTGTCTTATTAGAAAAACATCATTTTTCTTCTTTTAAGATTGTGCCAGATTGACAGTTTGCACAGACGACTTGTTAATATTCTGGGGGAAGGGGGAATGAAAATTAAAATGTTTAGGGGACATTTCACAGGTTTTTCTCATCATACATGAATTAAATCTTTATATGCTATATTTTCATTGTTCTGCTATTTCAGATTTCACGTTAAAGGTTGAAGTTGCCAAAGTTTGCTATTCTAGTGTGTTGCAGATTATACCATTTTATTGTTACATTTTTATTTATTTTAGTACCTTGTTTTGTGTTTCAGGTTTAACTCAATGTGGCTTAAAGCAGTAGATTTACAGTGCCTTGTATTAAAAAAAACAAAACAATTATTGAAGTTTCTGAACTTAGAAGTCAGCACATATTTTTGTTTTAGATTTGATGTATGAAATTTTGATACAATTTCTTTTTGCCTTTTTATTTTTTTAAGAGGAGGATTCTGAATGAGCCTATAGAATGTATTTGTAGCTTTTGACCAGGAGTACTTGGTTTTATTAAGTGATTTTCACATTTACAGTGAGGTTTTAATATACAAAACAAAAAATGAGCTAATGATGCTTCAGATGTTGTATGTAATGTATTCTTTTTATTTTATGTGTAGATGGCTCTTGGACAAGTCCGAGCAGTACAACACACTGGGAGGGAATGCCCTCTCCTTTTAAAGGCAGGAATTTTTATTTATTACCTGTGTTTAGTATGTAAACGTGAAATAAACCAGTGGATTCTGATATGGACACAGTATTTCTTGGATTATGTGTCTGAATTTTTGCTGTACAACATTCTGATGTTTAATTAACTTTGAAGGGGGGAGGAGAATAGTACTTTATCAGTTGTTTATTCTAAGGTATGCATTGTATTCATCTGTAAAGGATGTAGATGAAGGTAGTCATGTAGTTGCTTTGAGTTTCTGCTGAAGTTTATGCCTTGATATGTTTGGTGAAGAACAATAGAACAGTTTAGATCGAGATTGCCTTGTAATGTCATTTTAAAATTTATTTTGCATAGCTTTGTGGTCACTGTCTGATACACTCAACTTTTGATATGTCAACTTTTCACATTTTGATAGGTCTTCTTTTCTTCCAGTCTTCAGTTCCTACAGTGGGAAGCATCATTAGCCTTTAGCATGTGATATTTTGCTAGTAACGGACCTAAATACTTTGTCTTATAACATTCTAAAGTGCTTAACATACATTAAGGTCAGTGATTTGATACAATCAAAAAGAATTTTTTTAAAAAATGTCTGTGCATCTTTTAAACATGAATAGTTTGGGCTACGTTTTGGCACTTTTGGTTCAAATTACACAATACCCTCAGCTATTTCAATAAATGTTTATATTGATATTCTTGCTTGGGCAGGGGAACTGATTCATATATTTGTACTTATTGGCAAAAAAATTAAAAGACATTTAATTTTGCAGATCAACCAGATGCTAAGAAAGTTGCTCCTCAAAATGACTGTAAGTATTTATTTGAAGTTGGGTTAAAAAATAAAGTAACTGGATTTTTATTAGGGTTTTGTTCCTATCTTTTGTTGGGTATCTTTGAAGTTAGTTGGAGGCCATGAATATTATGTTATAATGAATTTCTTTGTAAATATGTGCATCCTATCTTTATGATCTTTCAGTTTTGGCCAGGTACATATTAATGAGATTAGACCATTAAGTTATTTTATATAGTCTCTTTTTTGCTCTATTTCTCCTTTTTATTATGTTTTATTAGTCTCTTTCTTAATCTATACATGCACCACTTGAAAAAGGACAGGTTTTTTTTTTCTATTTCATTGCTAGTAATGTCTGCCCTTTTACTGACTTTTTATTTGCTTACTGTCAATGTTGATTTAAGTATTCTGCATAAAATTTTACTCTCTTCAAGGTATTATCTGTGCATCAGGGAAAGATTTTGGAATTGCTTGATAAAAGTATTAAATATATGTGAACTTAAATTTAAACTTTTCCATTTTTTTTTAAATTTTTATGGTAGCTTTTGGGACGCAGTTACCACCGATGCATCAGCAGCAAAGGTATAGTCAAATGCTTTTCAAATGATTTGCAAGTTTTAGTTGAACTGTATGTAAAAACACAACCAAGTTAGTGTACAGTGAATATGTGTCTGCCGTGTGTGTGTGTGTGTGTGTGTGTGTGTGTGTGTGTGTGTTTCATTTCCTTCAACTTAATAAGGTGATACAGAATGATCATTTTTCTTTTTGAGTGACGTACATTTGTAGTTTGGAAGGATGGGTGTAATTAGACACATTTTAGAGAAAGTAAAGTGAATTAAAATACTATTTTTAAAAAAATTAAGATGACAGTCCCTCACCTCTACTCCAGCTTCTTTGCATGCCTTCAGACTGTTCCATTCACCATACCCTCCTCACTTGATATGTGTTACCTTAAGATTCTAACTTTAACTACTCAAGCCATATTTTGACTATAAACAAACATGTTCCTGGAACCCTGGTTTGACCATTAGACCTCCATTTTCATCGATAGAGTACCTTTTATTTGTAAGTAAATTACCTTTCTTTAAAGGAAGATGTTAGTTTCTGGTTTTGCTTTTTTTAGCAGGTCTGTAATGACTGAAGAATACAAAGTTCCAGATGGAATGGTTGGATTTAGTAAGTAACCTGGTTTTTAAAGCTTTGAAAACAATCAAAACATACTTGGCAATCTTTCAGCTAATAATTTTCTTTTTTCTTTTCTAGTTATTGGCAGAGGAGGTGAACAAATCTCACGTATACAGCAGGAATCTGGATGCAAAATACAGATTGCTCCTGGTAACGTTATTTTGATGCTATTTTCATACTAAATAGAAAGCTAGCATATTTTTAAGCTTCTGTTGAAAATTGTAGTATGTGTTAACCTTTTCTTAGCCTTAAACTTTTTTGTTTTATATTGTAGACAGTGGTGGCCTTCCAGAAAGGTCTTGTATGTTAACTGGAACACCTGAGTCTGTCCAGTAAGTATGAAAATCATGTGTCTAAGGCCAGCCCCCTTCTTCCTACTGAAGGACATTGCCTTTACAATTGAACCAACTTCCTCCTGCACTGTAAATTTCCCCTTCTTTTCTAGATAATTTCTAGTAGCATACAGACATGCTTGAAAATTTCACATTAACCAAAACCATCCCTGAACCCCACATTTATATTTCTCTGCTCCCTTTTACAACAAAACTCCTTAAATAAAGAGGTAGCTCTACTTTGTTATTATCATCTGCCTGTTTTCATGTTGTCATGACCTTAAACCAGTTGAGCATTGATTCTCACTGTCCCGTTAACATTGGTCTATTCGAGATCATGACTGAACGCTTCCTCATTCGGCCTGTCAGCACTGTTTGACACAGTGGACCACTTGCCTAGATACCTACTTCTCTTCTCCTCTTTCTCAGTTTATCTTGGTTGTCAGCCTTATCTTCCTGGGCTCAACATGAAAGTGCCACAAAATTCAGTCCTCTTACAATATATCTACACATACTCTTTGGATAACTTAATTTACTCTATTAAACTTCTTTTAATATATAGCTTTATATACCATAGATTTTTATGTTCTAAATTTTTATCTCCATCCTTGGTCTTTTTTTCTAAATTCCAGGCTCATATCCATCTACTCAGTGCCTCCACTTGAATGTCTATTAAGACATCTCAAACACGAGATTATTAGGAAATAAAATCATTTTACAGCCCATTCCCAGCTTTTATTTATACTCTTTTATCTCTTACCATGTATGGCAACTCTGTTTTAATATTTTATCTCTCTCTTATTCCTCGTGTATGGCAACTCTGTTTTAATATTTTATCTCTCTCTTCTCATTTATCATAAGCAAGTCTTGGTCATTTTTTATTCATAATTTATTTGAGATCCAGCTTTTTGCCACCTTATATACTACCATCTTATCTGTGATGTGATTTGCCTATATTACGTGTGTCCATTGTTTTAGCCGTGTTCAACAATGGTCTATTCTTATAACAGTATAGCCATAGTGATTCTTCAAGATTGTGAGTCAATTCATAATACTTTGCTCAAAATCACATAATGCTTAACTCAATTAGAGTGAAAATCAGTGTCTACCATGGCCTGCTTACCTGCTGTTTTTCTCACTTTATTTTTTTATTTTATTTTATTTTTTTTATTAAATCTTTATTGTTCTGATTATTACATTTGTTCCTCTTTTTTTCCCCCATAACTCCCCTCCTTCCAGCTCCCACCCCACCCTCCGCCCTCACTCCCCACCCACTGTCCTCATCCATAGGTGCACGATTTTTGTCCAGTCTCTTCCCGCATCTCCCACACCCCTTTTCCCCCCAAGAATAGTTAGTCCGTTCCCTTTCTATGTCCCTGATTCTATTATAATCACCAGTTCATTCTGTACATCAGGTTATTTATTCACTTGATTCTTAGATTCACTTGTTGATAGATGCATATTTGTTGTTCATAATTTGTATCTTTACCTTTTTCTTCTTCTTCCTCTTCTTAAAGGATACCTTTCAGCATTTCATATAATACTGGTTTGGTGGTGATGAACTCCTTTAGCTTTTCCTTATCTGTGAAGCTCTTTATCTGACCTTCAATTCTGAATGATAGCTTTGCTGGATAAAGTAATCTTGGTTGTAGGTTCTTGCTATTCATCACTTTGAATATTTCTTGCCACTCCCTTCTGGCCCTCAGCCACCAGCCCGCGCCGCGCGCACTCCGCACCTTAGTATTTTACTTCAGCACTGCGCCTCCTCTGATTCTCGGTTCCTCCTAGTTGTAGAACTTCCACTCAGCCAGCCTTCCTGTGGTTCTGGATGATGTCCGTTCCGTCTTTTAGTTGTATTTTTGAAGTAGTTGTTCGAGGCAGCAAACTCCGGCGTTAACCTATGCCGCCACCTTGGTTTTTTTTCTCACTTTATTTTTTTACCATTCTCCCAATTCACTCTGTTCTAGCCTCATGTAGCCTCTTGTATTTTTTGAGCACACCAAGCATGCTTCTCATTTGAGTCCTTTGTACTTTCTATTTCTCCTCTATTTTCAAATTCCCTCCACCTCTTCCTTCAGGTCTTGGCTCAAATGTCTATCAGTAAGGTCTCCCATATCTACTTTCCATAAAATAGCATCCCTTCACACACATACACATTCTATCCTTATTTTGCTTTGATTTTCTTCATAGCCCTTCCCAAATGACTTGTAATTTATTTAACATGTTATTATTTTAATACGTTTTTATTTATTATAGAGAGGAAGGAAGGGGGAGAGAAAAACTTCAGTGATGAGACAGGACCAGTGATTGATCGGCTGCCTCATGCACAGCTCCTATTTGGGATCAAGCCCACAACCCGGGCATGTCCCCTGACCAGGAATCGAACAGTGACATCCTTGTTCATAGGACGATGCTCAACCACTGAGCGATGCCAGAAGAAACTCTTGTCTGTTTTGTTCAGTGCTGTAATCCCATTAGCTAGAATGAAATCTGGTATATAACTGACATTTCTTAAGTATTTATTGGATGAATACATTTAAACACCTGAGTGACCAAAGTGATGGTTCAAAAATATAAATATTGCCTGGCCAGGTGTGACTCAGTGGTTGAACATCGACCTGTGAACCAAGAGGTCACTGTTCTATTCCTGGTCAGGGCACGTGCCTGGGTTGCAGGCTTTGATACCCTATAGGGGCCGTGCACGAGGTAGCCGATCATTGATTCTCTCTTGTGATTGAAGTTTCTTCCTCTCTCCCTTCCTCTTTGAATTCAACAAAAATACATATTTTTTAAAAAACATTTTATTTAGTGCTCATAAGAATCAATTTAATATTGCGATTAACTTTGGAATTTGAGTGCTGCTTAGAAATTTTGGAATCTCAAAAATATTTGAAAATTGTATACCTAGAAATTTGATTGAACAGTTCTAATCTTTGGCCCTAAAGGCATTTTCTTTTAATTGAAATTATTAAAATTTAGCTTTAAGCCATCTAAACTGGAATTGGAAGAAGTAACTGGTTATATTTTATATTTATTTTGGATAAGCTTTGGGGTATATTACAACTTATTTGACTGTTAATTTATTAACAGGTCAGCAAAACGATTACTGGACCAGATTGTTGAAAAAGGAAGACCAGCCCCTGGCTTCCATCATGGTGATGGACCAGGAAATGCAGTTCAAGAAATAATGATTCCAGCTAGCAAAGCTGGATTAGTTATTGGAAAGGGGGGAGAGACTATTAAACAACTTCAGGTATTATTTGTAAAATGATTACTATTCATCTGTTTTGAAGCCAATTTACTTCCATTCCCCTTTTATTAATACATACTTTTTTTTTTTTATGATGAACAGGAACGGGCTGGAGTTAAAATGGTTATGATTCAAGATGGACCTCAGAACACTGGTGCTGACAAACCTCTTAGGATTACTGGAGATCCATACAAAGTTCAAGTAAACAAGTTTATATTTTACAAAGAAGGGGTTGGGGTGGGTGCAGAATGAGCAAAACATGTATGAATAAATTACAATGTTTTGAGACATGCTTTCTAAATTGGGTAATTTTTTTCTACTTCAGCAAGCCAAGGAAATGGTGTTAGAGTTAATTCGTGATCAAGGTGGTTTCAGAGAAGTTCGAAATGAGTATGGGTCAAGAATTGGAGGAAATGAAGGGATAGATGTAAGTAAAAATATTCAGAAATAGTTTTATGCTAATCTATAAGTAAAATAGAGTTTTTCCTGTTTTGTATTGCATAGCCTTCTCTAACATTGTATCCTCTTTTTTTCTCCCAGTTTCCACCTTAGAATATAGTAGTATTTTTTGTCTCTTCTCACCCTACTTGATACAAAAAGTGTTATATATACCTTTATGATTTGAGGCAGCTTGATTTTCAGTAAATGGTTTTTTTAATACTTTGTCTCCTTTGCATAAGGTCCCCATTCCAAGATTTGCTGTTGGCATTGTAATAGGAAGAAATGGAGAGATGATTAAAAAAATACAAAATGATGCTGGTGTTCGAATTCAGTTTAAGCCAGGTGAGTACGTACATTTAATTTTCTGAGTGTTGGTAGCAATTACTTTTGACACTGACACATTTAATGATAAATTAATTCGTTCTATTTCTTTTGTTTTGTTTTGAAGATGATGGAACAACACCTGACAGGATAGCACAAATAACAGGACCTCCAGACCGATGTCAACATGCTGCAGAAATTATTACAGACCTTCTTAGGAGTGTTCAGGTTGATAGAATACTAATATTTTCTTTCAGAAATTTTTTCTTTGGCTCCAGCCAGGTGTCTCAGTTGGTTAGAGGGTCATACTGTACACCCAAAGGGTTTGCAGGTTCAATTTCTGGTCAGGGCACACACCTAAGTTGCAGGTTTGATCCCTGGTTGGGGCCCATACAGGAGGCAACTGATCGATGTTTCTCTCTCACATCGGTGGTTGTTTCTCTTCCTCTCTCAAATCAATAAAAACTTAAGCTTGGTTGAAAATTTTAAAATTTTCCTTCATCAAATCTGAAAGTCCCCCCTTTATTTTATATCAGAATCTGTTTAATAACTAAAAAGTTTGAAGTTGCTTTAAGGCAGACATCTTGGAGCAGGAAGGCAGCTACCTTACTCATTCCAGTATAAAATGAATAAATGGTGGTTATTACTGGCTGATTACTTGGACCAAGTTATCTCCCAACTTTTCTAAATTTCTAATTTAGGGAAATGAGAGTTGAGGAAAATAGACATGTAATTTATTATGGAAAGAAGAGTGTATTTTTAGCTGACTTCGTTTTTTGTCTTTCTCTTTAGGCTGGTAATCCTGGTGGACCTGGACCTGGTGGTCGAGGGAGAGGTAGAGGTCAGGGCAACTGGAACATGGGACCACCTGGTGGACTTCAGGAATTTAATTTCATTGTACCAACTGGGAAAACTGGATTAATAATAGGAAAAGGCAAAGTATTTTAAACTCTTAACTCTTTTAATGTAGGGTTAAAATTTTAACCTATTATTTTTCTGATGATATATCTGTTGTTGTTCGAAACAAGTGGTGGTGATTTTTCCTGAGCTGTATTTTAGTAGAAAAGTGTTATGTTGATGTGTAATAACTAAAACAAATGAGAAGGGCCTTATATATACTTAAATAAAAAGAGTAGGCTTTGATTCACATGGGCTTCTAGAAGAGACCAACAGCTTAATTATTAGTATAAGAAACTTCAACCCAAAAGTGGTCTGGGTGTTTTTGTTTACTTTGCTATTTCCTGATACACATGTGTTTAAATTTTCAAAATTTTTTAATGTTACTTTATATTGCTTGTAAAAGCAGTTTAATTGAACCAAATATTTTGATTTTGATAAGTTACCCATTTTAAGGTTAGGTACAGATGTACTAAATTATGTCTTAAAACTCAAATGTATTTTAAGAGAAGCATGAAATGCTTTATACAGTTTGATTTAAAGTATAGGAATAAATGGAAAATCGTAATAGAATTTTGGCAGATGGACTACTAGTCAAAGCTTAATGACCCATTTAATTGTGACTTTAAGTTTATTGAAGTAATATTAATTAATGACATTATATAAATTTCAGGTGTACGTCTATATCTGTATACCCTAATTTATACTTTACACCCAAAGTATAGTTTCTTTCCATTGCCATTTATTTGACCCCCTTTGCCTAATTTGCCCTTCCCCACTGGTAATCATCATTCTGTTTGTATCTATGAGTTTGTATTTGTTAGTTCGTTTGTTACTTCCATTTTATTTTAATTACCTTTTCTTGTATCCTTTGAATTCTTAGAGAAATTATTGTGTTTTGATTTTAGGAGGTGAAACCATAAAAAGCATAAGCCAACAGTCTGGTGCAAGAATAGAACTTCAGAGAAATCCACCACCTAATGCAGACCCTAATATGAAGTTATTTACAATTCGTGGCACTCCACAACAAATAGACTATGCTCGGCAACTCATAGAAGAAAAGATTGGTGTGAGTATGCTTTAAACTTCAATTTATAGCATAGGTTCTAGTCTAAAATTATAAGGTTCATAAGCCAACAGTCTGGTGCAAGAATAGAACTTCAGAGAAATCCACCACCTAATGCAGACCCTAATATGAAGTTATTTACAATTCGTGGCACTCCACAACAAATAGACTATGCTCGGCAACTCATAGAAGAAAAGATTGGTGTGAGTATGCTTTAAACTTCAATTTATAGCATAGATTCTAGTCTAAAATTATAAGGCTCATCACATAATAGATAACATAAACAGAAAAGATTTTCCAGGAATGAAAGTAACCTAATTAAATACAGTAAAAGGTGTTCAGAACCTTATATTTGGGTGTGGGTAGATAAGAGGATAGCATTTCTTGACAGTAAAAGGTGTTCAGAACCTTATATTTGGGTGTGGATAGATAAGAGGATAGATAGCATTTCTTACAGATATGTTCAGGTTGGTGGAGAATTGTGAAACATATTTAAAGGATATAGTTAACAGGAATTCAGTGTTTATTAAGGGCTTTTACTATATGTAACCCTGGTGACACAAAGATGAGTCAGATACATCCCACTTTAAAGTAGAAATTTATAAATCCTAATTCTTAGGCAGTAATCTGGGGAGTTTTAAATGTAGACTACTTGGGTGCTTTCCACCTCTACACATAACGCAGTTCTCATTCAAAATGTCTGGAATAGAGCCCAACATCTACTTTTAGAAAGATGGTCCAGGTGATTCTGATGCATGGCCAAGCTTGAAAGTGTTTCTGCCAGAAAAGTTTGCTGGTGGTAGTACAAAAATGTATGAAAAGTTTTGATTGTTCTTTCTTGTAAATGAGGTAAATAGTGCTTTACTGTTTGCTTTTATTATAAATAATATAGGGTGTGAGCAAGCATCTTAAACTATTAATAATAATTAGAATTTCTTGGAAAAATTTCTCCTTGGTGATTGCCATGCGTGGATGGGGTGCAAAAGAAGTTTGACACTGTTTCTGTCTGGGAAGTCAAAAAATAAATGTACAAGAAATACTTAAAGAATATCTTATAAAAATATACACACACAGCCCTGACTGGTTTGGCTCAGTGGATAGAGCGTCGGCCTGCGGACTGAAAGGTCCCAGGTTCGATTCCAGTCAAGGGCATGTACCTTGGTTGCAGGCACATTCCCAGGAGGGGGTTGTGCAGGAGGCAGCTGATCGATGTTTCTCTCTCATCGATGTTTCTAACTCTCTATCCCTCTCCCTTCCTCTCTGTAAAAAAATCAATAAAATATATTTAAAAATATATATATACACAAACATTGTATGGGCAATACGTGTAATTGCACAGAGACATGAAGAAAATAATTGTGGAATCAGTGTGGCAGAGATTAATGCAGAAAAATGAATAGCACATCTTGGTTTTGAATTTTACTATGCACGGATCAGGATTCCTTCTGGATTGGTGGACAAACAGAATAGAATGTCCTAGAGAAGCTAAACAACCTGAGTTCAAAATACTCTGGCTCTTGCTGGTGTTTTCAGCAGTTAGAGCATTGGTCTACACACTGAAGGGTCTTGGGGTAACATCAATTGTGTCTCTCCCTCTCTTCCACTCTCTCTAAAAATCAGTGGAAAAATATATTCTCAGTTGAGAATTTAACAAAATAAATACTCTGAATTATTTACTGACTGTGATCTTAGGGAACCTAATAGTCATTTTTGCCTTAGTCTGTTACCTAGTTTAGAGGGTTTAGGGATTAAATGATTTAGGTATGAGTGTGTGGTGGGTGTGTATTACTTAAAAGAGTGCCTGGCACATCACTCTGAAAATATTCCTACTTAACCCTGGCCAGTGTGGCTTAGTTGGTTGGGCGTCATCCCATGCACCAAAAGGTCACTGGTTTCATTCCCAGTCAGGGCACATGCCCGGGTTGTGGGCTCCATCCCCAGTAGGGGGCTGCAGGTAGCTGCCAATCGATGTTTCTCTCCCTCTGAATAAAAACACATTTCTTTAAATGTTGATATTTTTTCAGTAATTTTTTTTTATTTTTTTTTTACTATTTCGAAATGGTGGGTTATAGATAATAGAATATTGGAAGTGGGGGGGTGATGACAGCAATTAGAGACCTAAAGAGACATCCTAATAAAAGGAACTTTAAAAATCATGAAGGTTAGCCCTGGCCAGTGTGGCTCAGTTGGTTGGGCGTCAGCTTGTGCATTGAAAGGTTGGTTCGATTCCCAGTCAGGGTCCATGCCTAGGTTGTGGGCTTGATACCCAGTAAGGAGCAGCAGGAGGCAGCTGATCAGTGTTCCACTCTCACATCGGTATTTCTTCCCTTTCCCTTCCTCTCTCTAAAAATCATTTTAAAATATTTATTTTTTTTTTAAAAATCACGAAGGTTAGCTTCATTATTTTGTAGTGAGAAAAATGCCCTTCCTCTCTCTAAAAATCATTTTAAAATATTTTTTTTTTTTTTAAATCACGGAGGTTAGCTTCATTATTTTGTAGTGAGAAAAATTACAACCAAATGTAGTTTAAAAACAATTTTGTCCAAAATGTCTCATGGTAAGTATTAACTGAAATGAAAGGGTGTTTTAGGGCAGTTAAATCTAGTGGTCTTTACAAGTTGGATTAATAAAAAAAGACATCAACTAAGTATTTTTTTTTTAAATGTTTTTATTGAGTTTAGAGACAGGAAGGGAGAGGGAGAGACACATTGATTGGCTGCCTCCTGCACTCCCTCTACTAGGGATTGAGTGCCCTGACCCAGGAATTGACCTTTGAGTTGTTCGGCCATTGGTGTTTTTCTGATTTTTGTAAGTCATTTTGCTTTTTTGCAGGGCCCAGTAAATCCTTTAGGGCCACCTGTACCCCATGGGCCCCATGGTGTCCCAGGGCCCCATGGGCCTCCTGGGCCTCCTGGGCCTGGAGCTCCAATGGGACCATACAACCCTGCACCTTATAATCCAGGACCACCTGGCCCTGCTCCTCAGTAAGTACTGGGTTTTCTTTGTGCTTTTCCCCAAAGATTCTAGCTTTTGGTAAGTCATATTCTTACATTGTTTTATATCTTTTCAGTGGTCCTCCAGCCCCTTATGCTCCCCAGGGGTGGGGAAATGCATATCCACACTGGCAGCAACAGGCCCCTCCTGATCCAGGTAAAAGATGCTTATCATTCTTGTGTAATTTGTATTGTTTTTCACTCCTTATATTTTCTAGTGTTATTTCTACATTGTGTGCCATTTTCTGCACGTATTTCACTCTTTCAACAGGAGTGTTAAGTTCTGGTTCTACCACAGTGTGTAAGATTGGTGTGAATATGGTCTATCATGGAACCTTTTTCGACCTGCATTTGGTTTTCTCTACTTTTGAAATTACACAGCAGAGTGCTAAAAGCCAAAAGCTATAGGAAGAAGTGCGATGTCTTGGGCTTTAGGTACTAGTGCCATTACATGTATATAGTATGTTACGAGTCTAAATGGAGTGTTTAATACTTGGGCATTAAACTCCTCTAAGTTCTCAAATTATGTAAGTTGTCTGTTTTAGTATTCTAGATACGGTAACTTTACCTGTTAGTAAAAATCAGGCCTGTATTTAATATCTACGTGTTAAAACTCTAAAGTACACTTTTGTCAAATATTTTCTCTGCTCAGATCTGGATTTATATATATTACATTCTGTTCAATTATATGTTATTTTATCCCCACCATGGTCAAAGGGCATTTATCGAAACCAATTAACAATTTTTTATGATTCTTTTTTCTCACCCACTACCTACCTTTAGGCCTCTTTCACTGGAGTAGTTTCAAGGAAGGTACTGAATTAATGGATTCTTTTCCACACTAGTTAATATTTGTATTTTTAAAAACCTAAAAAATTAGGTGAAACACTCGTATTTAAATGTGGCCCCCATGTTCTATAACATACTTTAATTTCAAAGGAAGTGTATTCTTTGGAAATGATGACACAGCATGGCAGTCACCCAATAGCCACAACATCCACTAAACAACTTGAGGGTGCTAGAATCTGGGTGTGCAAAGAGTAGTTTATATTCTGTAGCAGAAGAGTGCATTTCAAGAGATAGCAATAATGTGATAGAAGGACTTATAGAAGAGTCAAATGTTATTTACTATATAGTCTAAAGTTAGTCTTTTAAGAATGAAAGGATTTTCTTCCCTCTTGTAAACTAATTGAGATGGTGTGATAAGCAGAGGAATCACCATTTAAGAGATTCAACATGTTGGTTAAGTTAAGGGGCAGATTTATATTGGGTAACTTAGATATGCAGAGTAGCACCTATGAGCCCTGTTTGGGTAGGTAGCATGATTGAGAAAATGATGGGAATAGAGAAGTGGTCTCTATCACAATCTCATTTTCCCACTTGGAGTAGTAGTGAAGTAACAATTGGTTAATGAATGTGGTTTCTAGCATTGCTTTGGGGAAAGCAAGAATCCAGTTAGCCAGAAGAGATGAGCTAAAGCTAGATATTGCTTAAATTAGACTTAACATATAAAAACCAAATAAATGATTTAAATGAAATTGTATTGACAATAAAGTCAGTATTCTCTGAACTAAAATCTGTTTCGATAAAAAATTAATGGGCTGTTAAGCATTTATATAGAGTCAAAAGATTAGACCTCAAAATGAAACAGGCCCTAGATAAATTCTAATCTTACAACTTAGTAATTGTGGTATAACAAGCACATTTTTTAACCCCTCTAAATCTATATTTATGCATAAAATAGTGGTACATGAATGAATGAATGAATATTATGTTGAATGAATGATAGTAAGTTCTCATGTATGTAAACAGGCTGGTTTTCTATTTTTGACTTAGATGGCATCTTTTTATTTTCTTTACTATTGCTTTAATGCAATTTAAGACTATTTTTCTTATATGAAGTTCATTCAGGAGTACCAGTATCACTTCCTAAAGTCTTTAATCTCGCTTTCTCTATCCAGACATGGTATGAAGTGAAAATATTTTGTATTTATTAGTATACAGGTTAATGACACTATTGAGACATAAATATCCAATGTAGAAAAGCAATTTCTTACTTGAGAAGGATTAGGAGGGTGGTGTAATGTCTTGGAATTATATCACCTTAAATTTATATCCCTCTAAAAATTCCTTTTTTCTCAACCTTCATTCACTTTTATTAAGCAGCTGAAAATTGCTGCCCATTTGGGATGAAGGCTATAAACAGATTACATTATAGATGCTAACTCTAGCTAAGACAATGACATTCTTCTTGAGGCTGTAAACTAATAAAGATATACCTGTAATACCATATGATAGTATAAAGGACAGAATCAATAGAGGATTTCTGTTTCTAAGAAGTCTCAAACTGTTCATGTATCAGTTGATTTTTATGAAGAATGAGTGAAGGTGAGCCAAGTGCAGAGGAAGTATAATATGCTCAAAGGCCCAGATATAAGATGGTAACTTCTGAAAGTATAAGCCGTTTATTGTAGTCAGAATATGAGTGTTAGAAAAATATTGACATAGGGAAGATGAGGCTGGAATGGAAAGGATAAGTCAGGGGGTCCAGATCATTAAAGATTTTGGATGATAGACTATACCTAAGATCTTAGACCAGTGGTTCTCAACCTTCCTATGCCTCGACCCTTTAATACAGTACCTCATGTTGTGGTGACCCCCAAACATAAAATTATTTTCGTTGCTACTTCATAACTGTATTTTACTAGTTATGAATCGTAATGTAAATATCTGATATGCAGGATGTATTTTCATTGTTACAAATTGAACATAATTAAAGCATACTGATTAATCACAAAAACAATATGTAATTATATATGTGTTTTCTGATGGTCTTAGGCGATCCTGTGAAAGGGTCGTTTGACCCCCAAAGGGGTCGCGACCCACAGGTTGGCGACCCACAGGTTGAGAACTGCTGTCTTAGACAGTCCTGAAGACTCTAGGGAATAAATGAAGAATTTCAAGTAGGACTATGACATCAAGTTTATGTTTTAGGATAATCACTGTGAAATATGATGAGATGAAATATGGCTAATCTCTGTTTCCTTTTCTAAGATTAAGTTGTGTTTTTATTGAAAACAAGACAGGAGAAAGTTCATAGTTCTGTAATAATTGTTTCTTTCTTGTACAGCTTAGTCCCTAGAAATCCTTTCGTTTAGTTATCTGCCATATAGAAAGAACTGTTGGGCTTGAGGCAAAACTGATTTAGAAAGAAAACACAGGATGGTCTGAGACAAAGCATTGGATTTAGAGAAAAGATCTTTTATTCCTATCCGAATCCTGTCACCAACTCGTTTTCTAAGATCTAGGAATGCCAGTTAATCTCTGAACCTCTTTTTTCTATAAAAGCTAGGGGTAACAGTGAAATTAATTGAAGAATTTGAAAGTTACTACTTATTTTTAAGTCTAGTTAATTTTGGGGTCTGTGGGGTCTATATATTTGCCAGGGTGTGTGTGTACATATGAGAGAGAGAATAATGGACTTCAGGTGCAAACGTTGAACTTGTGTTTATTCTAGCTAAGGCAGGAACCGATCCAAATTCCGCAGCTTGGGCTGCGTATTATGCTCACTATTACCAACAGCAAGCACAGCCACCACCTGCAGCTCCCACTGGTGCACCAACTACAGCCCAAACCAATGGACAAGGTAACTATGGTAATAAAACTTTTTTTTTATATATACGTGTGTGTGTGTGTGTGAGATGGGGGGGGACCTGTGTTTGGAATTATATATAAAATGCATGTGATACCCCAAAATTCCTAATTCTTACAGCTTTGGTAAGCAGACTTTTTAAAAATAGGTTACTTTTTTAGTCACAAACTTGTATAAAAGTTGTAAGATATATTAGAGAACAGGAACACCCAATAACCTAGTTATTAGTGTTTCATCCCTTATTAACACTCCCCACCACTCCTTTTTATTACCTTCTCTACCAGGTGTCCATGTCCATTATCATTAGTCTTTGTCAGAACCATTTATGGCCAAGCTGTAGAAATGATGCCTCATTTAAAATACTCCTTTCTGTATTAATCCAAAAATCCATGTCCATCATGCAGCCCTCCACATTAGTTGATCAACATTGATACATTATTACTGTCCCAGTGCTGGGGTCCAACCCCAGCAGGTCCAGGGGTCCCCAAAGGTGTGGACGGAGTCGGCGAAGAAGGAATGACACGGAGACAGCCTTCAGTTGATCAGCAGCCTAGTCAGGACCTCTAGCCAGGATCTCCAGCCAAAGTTCTGGTCGGAGTTCTGGTTAGGAACTGATCAGGATCTGATGTTTATTGTCTTGTTACATCTATATTTATACCAGCCGATTTTAATCCTGTCAATTTCTATTACAAAGGTTAGGGCGTTTCTTATCTCCATTCCAGGGAGTAAAGATTATGTAGCTTAACTACCCGCCTGGCACTTAATTAAGGGGTTGTATCCCCTCCCTAACCTCGGGGAAAAATCCCCACCTGGGGAAACAACCTTTCTCGGAGAGGTGACCTTGGTTAAAACACATGGCACTAAGGAGAGCAAACATATTAAGAACAATATGCTATATATGCCAGGTCCCTTGAAACATATGCTGTGCAGATGTTTCTTTCCTGCAGCGACTGTGTCAAGCAGCAAGAATGGACCGGCTTCCGGCATCCCAGTACACAGTCCTTAATTCAGATTTCACCATTTGACCCAACAATTGTTTTGTGATCCAGGATCCCATCTGGTAACATGTTTTTATGAGTTGTCAGGTCTATTCTGTCTCATCAATCAGGAAAAAACAGTTTGGTGTTTTTTTTTTAATGTTGTAAAGAGTACAGACCTTTTGCTTTGTGGGATGATACTCAGTCTTTTGTTATGAAGATGATGTCATGCTCATGCGGTCCTGTTTGTGGTATGGCAAGAATACCTCAGAAATTATGATGTGCTCTTGTGTGTTACATCAAGAGGTCATATTTTGATCTGTTTCTTCCCTGGAAATGGCAACCTTTGGTTATCTGCCATATAGAACTGTTGTGCTTAAGGCAAAACATGGTGACTTGGTTATATTGGTGTCTGCCAGGTTTCTATACCATAGAATTACAATTTTTCTCTTTGAAAATTACTATTTTCTGGAGAGTTATAATGAGACTAGACTACTAATCTGTATCTCATTGGCCTTCGCCTTCATTGATTAACACCTGCCTCATTCATTCAGCTACAATTATGATGGTAATTTCTATTCCCATTATTCATTTTACATTAATAGTTGGTAGTTTATTGTCAAAAAAGAGTCCCCGCCCCCCCCTTCCTGCTTGCTTCTTTATATCAGTATGGGTTCCTGTTTTATTCAATAGGTTGTATTTTAGACTGTCTACTATTTTGATTATGGAATTGTCCTAGGTTTGACTAGTCAGGAGTACTTTCAAGATCGCTCCTATATCCTTTTGACATGCCTGTCATTCTCTAAGCATTTTCTTACTTTCTTGCAGAATGAGATGCTCATTTTGTGCTCTCTGGGCTCCAGCCCTAGAATCAGCCATTTTTCCAAAGAGCCCTGATTCCTTTTAGTAGATGATGGTATTTAGAAACCAAACTCAGTGTGTTCATTTCTACTGAGGCATCATTGCTTCTAGCTCCTTTCAATGTACAGAACTTACGTAATTTAGGTAAATACATACATACCTACATAAGCATGTATATGTGTTTAAATGTATGTAAAATAATATATATTTTTTAGACTGTGCATTCATATCACCTACAATTAATTACATTCTTGTACTTCAAGGTTCTTTTTAGCCTTTTCATGTTTATAAATGGTGAGGGACCTGGTATCCTCGGTGTGTTTTCTTATGTGACAAGTGAATTTACTTGCATGCTCAGTGTAGCTACTCTTCCTTCCAAATACATAGACTATCTTCTCTGTCCACCAACTTTGTACCCTAGTGTACACCAGAAGGGGTACCACTGTCACACAGCACCCTTCCTTCCCCCAACTCTTCCACTCAAGAAAGTGAAGGAAAAGACCAAATTGTCTCTTGAAAACTTTAATCTTTTTCTTTTCTTTTCTTTTTCTTGAACAAGGTGATCAACAGAATCCAGCTCCAGCTGGACAGGTTGATTATACCAAGGCTTGGGAAGAGTACTACAAGAAAATGGGTATGTTCTACATTTCCTTTTTTATACATTTAATTAAATTGAAACATTTAGTAAATATTACTCTAGAAGGTTGAAGATTTCAATAAAAGCATGTTTGTATCATGTTTTTGTTTCTTTGGGCTTTCACTGATTAACTTTTAAAATCTTAAAAGAATAATTGAGCAAGAATGCATTCCAAAATCACTAAACGTTCAGATGTTTCTAGGTCATTACAAATAGTAATTCTTAAAGTTGTGATTACATAATAAGGAAACATTTTTATTTGTAAACCCATTTGTCAATCATTTACCAATTGAAACTAAAAATTTTTCTCCTGGCCCATATGACATTGTATATTACCTACGTTTTTGTTATATATGTTAGTAGCCAAAATGGCATAGGTTAAATTCTAGAGTGCCAAAGAAAAATATGTATGTGTGGTATTATAATAGTGTCCCCCCTTTTCTTCAGGGGATAGGATAAACTCCAAGACCCCCCATGGATGCCTGAAACCAGAGATAGTAAATGTATAAATTAGGCACAGTAAGAGATTAACAATCATTATGAAATAAGCAATTATGGTAATACTAGAGGCCCAATGCATGAAATCTGTGCAAGGAGCTCAGCCCTCACAGCCTGGTGGCCTTGTGGCCCCGTGGCCCCGCCCACTCGTCTTTCTGGAAGATTGTTCTGCCATCTGGTCTAATTAGCATATTAGCTCTTTATTATATAGGATAAGTAAGGGTTTCTTGAACACAAGCACTTAAATACTGGAACAGTTGATCTCATAACAGCTACCAGGAGACTAACGTATGAGTAGCATATACAGTGTGGATATGTTGGACATAGGGAGATGATTCACCTCTTGAGAGGGAGGGAGTACGATGGATCCAGATTTCATCACACTTCTCAGAACTGTGCAATTTAAAATGTGAGTTGCTTATTTCTGGGATTTTCTATACAATATTTCTGACCACAGTTGACTAGAAAAGGGGAGACCATTGTATTTTTGGTGCAAAATAATCAGATAAGTAACCTACAGTGACAGAGAAAGTTACTTAAATGGCATTTTCATGTATGAAAAAGAAAAAAACAATCACCTAAAAAGGCCATTTTCATTCAATAACTGTAGAGGACTGTGTGCCAAGTATAGTGATAGATGCCTACAGTGTGATTGTGGGAATAACAGCTAGGAACCCTGCCCTTCTGGTTATCATACTCTAATGGAGGTACAGTTGTTAATCAAGTATTCAGCAAATACATTCATACATACTGTTGTGAATGAAAAGAACTATCTTCACTAACACTTTACATGTGCAGATTGAGAAACAGAGGTCACAACTACAACTAAGTGGTGGAACCAGAATTTGATCTCTAAGAGGTTCTAAGTAAAAAATTGGCCTTTTTCAGGGACCATTTGTACAAGTTTTTTGTTTGTTTGTTTGTTTGTTTTTCCAGGTGCTTATGCTCTTGGTCATTTATAAACAGTACAGCTTACAACATAGCCAGTTGTCATAAATGAAAGTTAAACTTGCCCATCTTTCACTAGTATAGAAAGAAATAGGTGATAGAATTTTTTCATAAGATACAGTCTACTTGTGATTCTCAGTGTAAATTTTGATGTTTTCTTTGTCATTTTCACAGGAAAAAATTATAGTAATCTTTTCTTGTATAAAAGTACATATACCTGGTGATAAGGATTTTTTTTACACAACTGATTTGTTTAAAGAAGGAGAATTCATTTTCCTGCCCAGCCAGTGTGGCTCAGTGGTTGGGCATCGAACTAAGAACCAGGAGTTCATGGTTCGACTCCCAGTCAGGGCATTTGCCCTGGTTGCAGGCTCAATCCCAGTGTGGGGTGTGCAGGAGGCAGCCGATCAATGATTCTCTCTCATTGATGTTTCTATCTCTCTCTTCCTTTCCCTTCCTCTCTGAAATAATTTTAAAAAATATTTTTTTAAAGGCAGTTTTATAAAGAAAAATTCAGAGCTCGCTTAAAAAAAATGTGCTCTGGCTAGGCAGTCATAACAAAGATATATTTTTTTAAAAAAGAAAAGACAAATAATTTTCCCTGTTAGAATGACTTTCAAAGAAAGTCATGCAGCATGTTATTCTTGAGGCTATAAAAGATTCATTAATTTACTTTTTTTTTTGACCCAGTTTATTTCAAGTAGTTCTGTAACAGCTGAAACTCTGTAAAAAGATAGTTTAAAAAAAAACTTTTAACCTCAAAACAGTATACTGTAGTTACAGTGATTGCATAGTTTATTGTCCAAACTGGGATGCTATTTAGAATAACTGGAAATCATTTTGTGACAACATAGTGGTCAGGACCTCTGGTCACCTTAATTTTTATGAAAAAGCTTCACCATTTTAAAGATTTAAGCATGTAAAGGTTAAAAATCATTAGGTCCATTACAAACTTTTGAACAATAATAGATACAGAGGCAGAGCTGCCTCAAACTGATTGTCAAACTGCAGTGGGAAGGCCAGAGAGGGTTGGGGGGCAGAAGGGAGGGGAGTAAGAGATCAACCGAAGGACTTGTATGCATGCATATAAGCATAACTAA